TGTCAGAATGGTACATAGATCAATTTACTTTTATTATCATGGGGTTTTCTATGACTGTCTCATTTTGTGATTTTTTTTTACAAACTTATCTTGAATAAAATGTGGAGCAGATAATTTATATTTCCATACTTTTGTCTAACCCCCAAAGACTTTATTATATATCCTGTGGAAATAAATTGAATCTCCTTATCAGTAGCAATTTTACAGTGTATTTCTGTGCATGGCACTCAGGTTCTCTTACTAAGTTGTTTTTAGAGTTGAGAACAGATGTTGGCATTGGAAGAAACATAAAACATGGGTAGCCAAAGAAAACACTCCACTGTCCCAAATTTAATAGTGCAAGTGAATGTTATAGATGGGCATTTTCTCATGCTTATTGTGGCCAAAACTGGTTTTAAACTTGTTTTTATCATTTCAAATATGAGCAGTAGTATGTCTTTTCAACTGAATGTTAATGAGTTATGCTTTGATTATAACTATTATAATGTTTCTTTATGGAGGCTAGACCCACATTGAGTTGCTGGGGAGAACTGGAATTTGAGTATTTTAAAATAAGCACTTCTCCCACTTAAACTATTATAGCATGTGCTCAGTTGACAGATTATATGTAGAGAACCAGCCTAGCCAGTTAAGAAAGATGTATCATCTGGATGGTAATATGCCATAGCCATAGCCAGTCTTCACAAACACAGCTGTCAAACTCAAGGCCCAACCAGATTAAAATGTAATTGAAAAATGTTTAACAAAATAGATAAAAATACAATACAACATAAGTCATTATGTAGCTTCAGTGATATCTTTTTTATTTTTGTTTGACCACTGCTTAAAACCAGCTACTAAGACATAGAGGCTTTGACATCAGCATCAGTAGAGGGATGATGTAATTATAAAGTGTTTAAGCACAACAGAGTGTTTAAAGTTTTAACATTTTAAAAATTGATAGTAAATAATGGTTGATTTAGGAAAACAGATTATTTTCTTCATAGAAATTGAATTTTTGAAACTTCTATGTGATATATTAAAAATTAATTCATCTCCAATAGATAAGCGGTCAAAGGATATAAACAAATAATTCTTAAAAGAAGAATTGCATGGTATTCACAACCAAATGAAAGAATGCTCCAAATCACTAATAATTAAAGAAATGCAAATCATAAGTATGAAGTTATTTCACCCCCTCCCCTGCAAATTGGCAAAAATGACCAAAAAATGGCAATAGTCAGTGTTGGAAGGATTGTGTGTTGATAGGCTCACTAATACATTCTTGTTGGAGCTCTTCAACCATTACCATTTTGGAAAGCAGTTTGGAATTAGGTAAATAAGTCATTAAAATGTCCATATCCTTTGACTCAAAGTCTCCATTACTGGACTCCTATCCCAAGAAAGCAGAAAAATTGGAAGGAAAACAGATGCCCACTGACTGAGGAATGGCTAAAAAAAATTGTGACGTAAAAATGTAATGGATTATTGCAGGTAGCTACAGTGGATATAATGTTCAACTTGGAGTCAGAAAGACAACTTCTGAGTTCAAATCTTGCCTCAGATACTTATTAGCTATATGACCCTGGGCAAGTCACTTAACCCTGTTTGTCTCAGTTGCCTTATCTGGAATGAGCTGAAGAAGGAAATGGCAGACCACTCCAGTATCTCTGCAAGAAAGTCTCAAATGGGGTCACAAAGGGGCAGACACAACTGAAAATGACTTGAATAACAACAATGAATACTACTGTTCTGTAAGAAATGATAAAATGTGACTAATACAGAGAAGCCTGGAGAGATCTACATGAACTGATGCACAGTGAAGTAAACAGAGCCAAGAAAACAGTCAGTACCCACAACAGTATAAACGAAAAGAATAACTATACCAAAAAACCAAAGTGAATGTAGCAAGATGATAAAAATCGAGCATAACTTAAGGGAGGTGAGAGGATTCCCCCAACCCACCTGTTCATGGAGGTGGGAGGTCTACAAGTATTGTTCATTGCACATTTCAAACTTTTTCAGTGTATTGAATGGTTGTGCCAATTTTTTCCTCTTTTTCTATTATATGGAATAGCTCCCTGGGAGGGTGAGAGGTAGGAATACTGGGGAAAACTATGAATATGTAAAAAACTAAAACATTAATAAAAACACTAAACAAATTCATTTAAAAAAACCCTACTGGTTTAAATCAGTTGAAACATCCCCTCATGTTTAAGATGTATCTCATACCTTTCCCTATTTTGATTGGCTAAAACTGAATTTATTTTTCTTATCCATTAATAAGTTACATTAAACTACTTTATGTTGATGTCGAGAGGGTAGAACTGATAATGTTATTAGCATCTGTTATATATTTAGTTATAGGATCCTAGGACAAATGCTAGAAGGATTTTTTTCTTTTTTGGAGGCAGTTGGGGTTAAGTAACTTGCCCAGGGTCAAACAGCTAGTAAATGTCTGAGGCCAGATTTGAACTTTCAGGTCCTTCTGACTCCAGGGCTGGTGCTTTATTCACTGCACCACCTAGCTACCCCATAGAAGGGCTGTTAGATGTCAGATAGTCCTTTTTTCCACATATGTGGAAACCAAGACATAACCGTCTTAAGTAACTTCTGCAGCATCACACACACAGTAAAGATAACTTTTGGGATTTGATCTTAGATTCTCTGAAAACAAAGCTTCCATAATGTGTCATGTTTATTTGTGGGACATGTTACATTCCAAAGGACAAATAAGCTTTGTTATATGAGTTCTATTTTACTTCTGATATGTTTTTCTGATACTTTTGCTGTTAAAAATTTCACTTAACAAAATAAATGACTTGAATATACACATTACAGAATGTTAATAGAATGTTAATTAGTCCTTTTTTTTCCTGAACAAAACAATTTTTTTAAAATCCATAATATGACCTTTATGTTTAGGTTGCTTATTTATTTGGAGCTTTTTGTGGTTATTATAGAAGTGGATGGTCCAAACCAGTTTTCTGCCATGCTCTTTTTTCAATTTGGTGAAAGAAGTCCTTCCCCTAGTAGTTTGTAATCTTGGATCTGTTGAACATTGGTCTGTTTACTTTTTGATTTTGCAGATCTAATCTAAACTAATTTTTCTCTTCTAATTTTCAGCCAAGTTTTGATGATTGTTTTATAATATTGTTTGATATCTTGTAGTACTGAAACTAGGTACAGTGGTTAGAGTGCTAGGCCTGGAGTCAGACCTGAGTTTAAATCTGGCCTTAGACACTTCCTAGCTGTGTGACCCTGGGTAAGTCACTTAATCCTATTTGCCTCAATTTTCTCATTTATAAAATGAGCTGGAGAAGGAAATGGCAAATCACTCCAATATCTCTGCCAAGAAAATCCCAATGTGGTCAGGAAGAGTTGGACACAAGTGAAATGACTGAGCAAAAGTACTCCAACACTGCAATGAATCTGTTACCTCATCTATGTAGTCATTCCACGTAACAGTGTAGGTTACAACTAATTCATCCCTGTTCATGCTCTGTGACCTCTGTTAATATCCTCCCATATGTTAAGATCCAACACAATTGCTAGGACCTTGATCACTTTATCTTGGCCTCAAAGGAAAGTTTCAGAGGCAGATTTAAGTTTGATGTCAGGAAAATCTTCCTAACAGTATTTACTGTGCAGAGGTGAAATGACATGTCTTCAGGTGGTGAGTACTCCCCTCCTTGTAATCTTATTTCATAAGATTTTTGCTAATGAATTTATATTCTAAAATTGTCTAAATCTTGGATGCCTTTTCTTCATACTTAATGGGTAGAATGATATTTCCTGACTGAGGACTTTTTAGGTTTTTGGGGGTCTTAGTTATGACAGTTGATATACGCTTATTAAACTTCTGTATATGCTGTTTAGGTGTCAGTGTCTTTTTTGCTATCCATTCCCTGCTCTTGGGAGTGAATAACTTGTTTTAGTAGGTTAGAATGTTTTCATTGCTCTCCATATATTTTTATTCAATTTATTTCTTTTCTAGCTTTGTATTAATTTTTGATATAGCTGTTTATTTCAGCATTTAAGTATACCATGAAAATGGAGAATTTTTTAGATTTCTTTCTCTTATTCCTCTGATACATTTTATCTCCTCAGACAGTTTGTGTAGCACTGAAATATTCACCTACACTAAAAGACCAAAGCTCAAAATCCAAATTATTCTCAAATTAATTCTTTGATCTGGTATATACACCCTATCATTTCAAAGATAGCATAGAAGTTAAGGAGATTAGCAGTTTTAGTGTTTTCCATACTTTTATTTCCTTCCTTTAATGCCAAAAGTATAGTAATTATTACATTGTGTTACATTTACAATTCAGAAATTCTAGTTTTTATGAAGGAAACACAGTGTCCCTGAATGACATGAAAACTTAAGCATTTCTTTAGTTCTCCACGGTCTGGGAGCTGCTTTGATTTCTGTGTGAATAAAGCATAACTATTTTAAAAGGATCACTCGAAAGTTTCTTCCAAACAGCACTAACCCCAGATATTACTTTTATGAAGAATTTGAATCCTCTCCCCGCCCCCCAAAATCACTTTTGATTGCTTTTTATTTTTTTTTAAAGTGAGAAGAATAATCTGTTAATACTTCAGGAAAAGTAGGCCTGTTCAATTTTTGCCTTTGTATATACTCAGTGCTACCTTCCTTGAACATAGTAGCCACTTACTAAGTACGTGTTTATTGAATGAATGATTGATTAATTGATTCAGCTTAATTGGAGTCACTGCTTTAGCTGTGTATTAGTAGGTAATACATTTTGATCCAGTTTAGCTTCTATATATGTATATGTCTTATAGTAAGAACATTGCCATATTTTGGTTGTATATTTTTTTTCCACTAGAGGGTGCAGCAAGAACTTGATTTGAATTTTACATTCTGTTTACTGGAAATAAAGAGTAGAATTGTGTCATTGTTTTGAATAGTTTATGGCCATGTGAAAGATTTGTAAAAATAAGCATAACTATTCTAATAACCTAAACCCATTTTTTTCATTTTTATATTACAGGTTACTGATTTTGGGATCCTATGAAAGAGAAGCAAATATTCATTGCACACTTGAGTTGAGCAGTGGTGTTTGGGAAGAAAAACAGAGGAGTTCTATTAAGACGGTAAAATGCCTTTATATAGACCTACTTTTAATGTCAAATGTTACTGTGGATCACTAAAATAAATTGATCAGAAACTCAGTCTTCAAGTTAGTTACTTTTTCCTATGTGCCTTTAATTCTGTTAGTAACATCAAACATATTTAGACTATGTATGTGGATAAATGTGCATAGGAACAGAGAGATGGTTTAGAGGATTAGAGCACAGGGTATGGAATCAGGAAGACCAGATCTCAAATGTGCCCTCAGATAGTTACTAGAGGTATGACCTTGGCCAAGTCACTTAACCTCTTTCAACCTTAGTTCCTCAAATGGGGATAATAATAGCACCTGCTTGACAGGATTGTTATGAGGATCAAAGGAGATAATATGTATTAGGTGCTTTTTATATATGTATGTGTACATATGTGTATGTCAATGTTTTATTATAGATAGAGTATTTATAATGAACCGTATGAATGCATATTATTTGGTTTGCTTATATGACAAGCATCATCTTAGATTCCTTCTCAAAGTGTAAAGTGTAGTGATGCTATTTTTAAATGGAGAAATTGGATGAGAAGAGCTGTTCATGCAGGGTCCTCAAAACAGTTGCTGGCCCACAAAATACAGTGCCTGCCATCCACTACTTAATTGCTTGTTTAGCAAATAGCACCATATTTTATTGTCTTATAGTGTAAGAATTTCAAACCTTGTAAAAACAAAAGAAACTTTTAAGCCTTATGTTTTTATGCACATATTTTAAGTTAGCCAATTCTCAAAGTAATCAAGTATTAATTGCCTTGTTCTCGTAGGTTAATTGCTATTATTCTGAACTGTTTAACATACCTATATATTATGTATAATACCTGTTGTGTTTCTTGATATTTCATAGTAGCACATTAAAACCAAAGCATAGCATTATTTATTAGACTATATATTGTTTATAAAATTATGTGGTTTTATTTTTTCTGGCTAATTTTTATTTTATTTCTCAATTACATGTAAACAAAAATTTTTAACATTCATTTAAAAAAATACATTTCCAAATTCTCTCTCTTCCTCCTTCTCCTCCTCCTTGTGGTGTCCTTTCTAAAAATTCTTCAGGGTTTTATATTGGAAATAGAAGAAATTGCTTTGAAATTGAGGAGGTACTTATAATGTAAGCAAGAAATTCGTGTTAAGACTAAATTTAGTTCTCATATCATGTGATGATTTGGTGTGTAAATTGAGTATGGATTCTGTATAGAAACCTTAAAACATCTTAAGTGTATATTTTGTCACTGTACAGGTGAAAAGAATGCTTAGCACCTTAAATGACTTTGAGGGCTTTAAAAAAAAGACTCTTTGAAAAGCATTTCTTTTTACTTATTTTATAAAACTGTAGGCTTTTGGTCTCTTTTAATGTTTATAATGAAACTCCAATGTGATTCATAGTTTTAACAGTTGGTGGCAGTATCACCAAGCTCATGGTTATGTCTTAAAAATAGAAAATATCATTTGCAAATAGAGGAAAAGTAGTCATCATTATCAATATCACAATATCATCTCATTCAGAGATATTTTAAACTAGCAATTGAAAAGAAGTTCCTTTAGTGGAACCACAGTGAGAGGGCTTTTGAGATGCTATGTTGTTTGGAAGATGGTCTTGCCATCTTTCACCTGAAACATAACAACACATAAGCCCGTCATAACCCACCGTGAATTCTTGGTTTTCATGAAGACAGAGTGGCATTTAATTTTCATTTTACATTGAAATTACTCCTTAAAAAACAACTTCCCCAATGAATAGTTTCTTGACTTTCTTCAAGGATGATTTCATCTTTTAAAAGGTGGAAGAACCAACAAAGGGAAATTCATTTCTAGATCTGATTCTTGTCAATAGGGAGGAAATGGTTCCTGAGATGAAAATAACCCATTCCCAATGAGAGTAGGGTTCCAGAACTACCCACATCTAATTCTGTGTCACTTCTTCTTGCACCTCATTTGTATAAGATAATTACTCCTTTTACTTTTCTTAGACAGTATTGCTTTTTAGAACTGCATCATACTCAGCTCTACCCCAGTCGTTCTTTCAAAGTACCCAATTACTGATTAGAATCTTAGACATACAGTTTATATTTCTTCATGTAAAAAGTGAAGTCTGTCCCTCTGTTCTATTTTTGTTTTCAGTGACTTGGGATTAATAACAACAATGATGATGATAATGATAGATAGCATTTACATAGCACCTACTATATGCCAAGCACAGTCCTTAATGCATTATAAATATCTTATTTGATCCTCATAACAACCTGGGGTGTAGGTGCTATTATGATCCCCATTTTATAGTTGAAGAAACTGAAGCACGCAGAGGTTAAATGACTCGTCCAGGTTCACACAGCTAATCAGTGTCTGAGGTCGAATTTGAACTTAGGTTTTGCTGACTGTAGGCTCAGTGCTCTGTCCACTGCACCACTTAGCTGTCTTATATAAAAGTAATAAAGGCATAGTTGACACATTTATCCAGTTTGCAAATGACACAGAGTTGGGAGAGAAAGCTAACATACTGAATGGTAGTTTTAAAAAAAGATCTTGACAAGCTAGAATGCTGGACCAAATCTAATGAGAAGAAATTTAATAGAGAGAAATGCAAAATCTTAGGCAGATTTTCAAAATCAGCTTTTCAAATAGAAGATAAGGAGGCATGCTGAGATGACAAAATAACAGTATGTCTGAAATAAAGTCTGAAGGATTCCATGGACTGCAAACTCACCGTGAATTAGAGTGATGTGGCAGCCAAGAAAGCTAATGCAGTCTGACACCTACCTTCTAAGGAAGAAGGAGGTGATAATCCCGCAGCATTCTGTTCTGGAGTACAATATTCATTCTGGATGCCATAATTTAGGAAACATAGACACTGGTAAACTGGAGAGAATTCAGAGGAAGACAATAATAGTGTTGAAGAGCCTTGAACATATGCTGTCTGAAGACTGGCTTGTAGAACTAGAGATATTTAGCTTGGAAAAGAGTAAGCTTGGGAAAAACCTTTTAAATTATCTTTTTTTTAATAAGCAAAATTTCTCCCAGTATTCTTCCTCCTCCCTGTCCCAGAGAACCATCCTGTATAACAAATAATATTTTAAAAAGGAAAGAAAAAGAGACAAGAAAAAAATCTGAAAAATTGGTTAGTACATCAAAACAATCTTATCAAATCATTGCATACAATATGTGCAGTGAGCAACATTTGTGGACCTCTGACTATTGGTAGAGGATAGGTTAAAGCTGTCTAATTTTTTCTTTAAAGCTATACTTGTTCTTGATCTTTTTGCAACATTCATTTGATTTTTTTTTTTGTAATTCTGTTTACATGTTGTAGTCATTGTACATACTATTTTCTTGGCTCTGCTTTCTTCACTTTATCAGATCATGTTAATTTTTCCATTCTTCATATTCCTCAAAACAAATTTCTTACAGTACAGTAATATTCCATTACTTTCATGCACCATGACTTGTTTAATCATTCCCCAGTTGATAGGCATCTACTTTGTTTCCAATTCTTAGCTACTACAAAAATGTTACAATAAATATTTATTGTAAATTTAAAATTTTAGTAATAAGTAGCTGTTATGTCTGTGATAAATGTAAACTTACCTTAGTTATTGATTCTACCATATATGTGTGTGTGTGCATAAGTGCACACACATTTTAGTACACCAATGGAATGTGTGTGAATGTGTGTGTGTGTATGTATAAAAGCACAAACATTGCTTGCCCCCCCATTTTCCCCTTCACTGTGAAAGCTCTTGTTTGCACGTGTCTTATGTGAGAAAATTTCCCCCATTCTACCCTTCCCTTCCCCCTTCTCCCAGTGCATCCCTCTTTCTAACCTTTTTTTTTTTAATCATCCCAACATAATCAGTTCATATCCACAACCTCGGTCTAGATGTCTTCTAACTGTCCTAATGATGATTAAGATCTTAGGAGTTACATGTATCCTTTTCCCATATAGGAATGTAAACAGTTTTACCTTATTGAGTCCCTTATAATTTCTCTTTCTCTCTCATTACTTTTTTTTATACTTCTCTTGAGTCTTCTGTTTGAATGTCATATTTTCTATTCAGCTCTAGTCTTTTTATCATGAATTCTTAAAAGACCTCTGTTTGATCGTGTGTGTGTGTGTGTGGGGGGGGGGGGGGTGTTTTCAGTGTTTTCTCCTGGACCTCCTAGGAGTTCTAGAATTTGGCTGTAATATTCCTGGGAGTTTTCATTTTGGTATATCTTTCAGAAGGTGATCAGTGCATTCTTTTCAATTCTGTTTTACCCTCTAGATCTAAGATATCCTTTATAATTTCATGACATTTGATGTCTAGGCTCTGTTTTTGTTTGTTTGGGTTGGGCAGTGGGGTTAAGTGACTTGCCCAGGGTCACACAGCTAGTAAGTGTTATGTGTCTGAGGCTGGGTTTGAACTCAGGTCCTCCTGAATCCAGGGCCAGTGCTCTATCCACTGTGCCACCTATAGGCTCTGTTTTTGAAAGTGGCTTTCAAGTAGTTCAAAAATTCTTAAATTATCTCTTGTTCGTCTGTTTTCTAGGTCATTTGTTTTCTGATGAGATATTTCACATTTTCTTCTGTTTTTTCATTCTTTTGATTTGGATTGCTTCCTGATGTCTCCTGGAGTCATTAGCGTCTACTTGCCCAGTTCTGATTTTTGAGGAATTATATTTTTCCCAGTGTGCTTTTGTACCTCTTTTTCCATTTGGCCTATTCTCTTTTTTAGGGAGTTCTTTTCTGAAGTGAATTTTGAACCTCTTTTTCCATTTGGCCAATTCTGCTTTTAGAAGGTATTCTTTTGGGTCAGCTAGGTGGCACAGTGGATAGAGCACTGGCCCTGAAGTCAGGAGGACCTGAGTTCAAATCCGGCATCAGACCAAACCACTTGACACTTACTAGCTGTGTGACCCTGGGCAAGTCACTTAACCCCAGTTACCTAAAAAAGTTAAAAAAAAAATAAGGAATTCTTTTATTCAGTGAAGTTTTGTGCC